AAAAAAAAAAAAACCCTGAATATTCAGGCTGAAGGTAGAAAATCCTCATAACCCCCATGAAAGTCAGAAGTGCCAACCGTTTTTGTCTGTATTGTATCCCTTGCCAATCTAGGAGCGTGACCCCTGCCTCAGTGTAACCAAAGCCTGAAAAGCAATGAAGTTCATGTCTGCTTCAGTTAGCAGGGGTGGAGGTGAGGTCAGAGAAATGCCATGCCTCTTCTTAAGTCAAAGAGGCAGCTGGGCAGTGACAGCCTTTAGATCAACGGCCCATGGAGCTACAAAAGTCCACAAATCTTTATTTACTTACAGTAAATGTGGTCCCAGGAAATAGCAATGTGCACAGACTTTGAGAACTTCTGTGCATCTTCATTCAACACAGCCACAATTACATGGACATTGTGGATAGTACTTTAGAAAGGACAAATCAGTGTTTGCATAGTCTCCCCCACCCTGCTATTTCATTGTTTCTGTACCAAAGAGCCTCACCTTGCAGTGGTAGGTCTTATATCTCATAGCATTTGCCTGTGGGACTCTGGATATCAGAGACTGGCTTCTACACAGGTCTAGGAGACAGTAATCCTTCAGCAGTGTTAGGGAATATGTGACATTTATGGGACTCAACTCAAGTTGCTTCTAGAAGGAGGGAAGATTGTCACACCATCTATAGCTTCCTTTGAATGAATACTAGGTTCACAAGAGGCCTTACATTCAAGCCAGAGAATTAGGCAGATAAAGCTCTTGGGCTTTTCTAGCATGTTTAGAATAGTGTATACTAAATTAAACTAGACTGAGAACTTTTTTTTTGTGGAACCGGGGATTGAACTCAGGCCCTTGTGCTTGCCAGGGAAGCGCTTATTCCACTGAACCATCTCCCCGGCCCGAGAACTTTTCTTGGATAAGCTACAAATCAAGAAAATAAAATTTGGGCTACAAAATGTGCTCTTCCTTTCACATCATCAGAAGACTTTTCAGCAGGGTTGGGCGATCTGGATGACTACTGTGTTCATGATCAACACTGCCAATGGGGAATCCTGCCTAGAAGTCCCCAGCAGACCCTAGCTCAGATCTTCATGCCACGGTTAGCTCATGGCCACTCAGAACCTAGGCATACAGAAGGAAGCGAGGGCCTCCAATGGGTTCAGAACATTCATGCTTCTCTAAGGAACAAAAGAACAAGCAGGTATCTGCCTTCACTGAGCAGAGCAGAGAGCCCAGGACATGCAGACAGGAACATATGAGGGCTTCCACCACAGACACTGGCAGGGACATAAGTGCCAAGAGCCTTGCAATACTGAGTCCAAAACAGGTCATGACCACTTCCCACATATAGTGGTTACTGGAATCTCTCCCCAGGATGGATGTCAGAACAGACAGGTTTTCCTGTGAGCTAGTGGTTGTCTTCATTAGCTTTTTTGGTAAGAAATCGTGACTTTTCTGTATTCACAAGGCCTTTCTCTTGTGTGACTATTTTATGCAAAACAATTTCAAGAGCTGCAGCTAAGGATCACTAAAACTGCATGCATGAGCCCTCTCTCCACAGTGAATTCTGTGGTGCCTCATAAGATGGGAACTCCTGCTATATGCCTTCCCACATGCATTGCAGACATAAGGCTTTTCTCCAGTGTGCACTCACTGGTGGAGAATGAGGCTAGAGTTGCGGCTGAAGAATTTTCCACACATGCTGCACTCATAAGGCCTTGCTCCGGTGTGAACTTTCTTGTGTTGAACAAGGTGAGAGCTACTAATGTAGGCTTTTCCACACTCACTGCACACATAAGGCCTTGCCCCAGTGTGAACTCTCTGGTGAAGAATGAGGCTGGAGTTGTGGCTGAAGCGCTTTCCACATTGACTGCACTCATAAGGCCTTGCCCCAGTGTGAATTCTCTGGTGTACAATAAGGTTGGAGCTATGTCTGAATAACTTCCCACATTCACTGCACCCATAAGGCCTCTCACCAGTGTGGATTTTCTGGTGCTTCATAAGGGTGTCCTTCCGGCTGAAGGCCTTCCCACACTGGCTGCATTCATAAGGCCTCACACCAGTGTGAATTACCTGATGCTGAACAAGTGTGTCTCTGCAGCTAAAAGCTTTCCCACACTTGCTGCACACATAAGACCTTGCTCCTGTGTGGACTCGCTGATGTTTCATGAGGCTAGACTTATGGCTAAAGAACTTCCCACATTCAGTGCACTTGTATGGCCTCACCCCGGTATGAATTCTCCAGTGCTCAACAAGGTGGGAGTTTTGGCTGAAGAATTTCCCACATTCACTACACTCATAGGGCCGCTCTCCAGTGTGAAATCTCTGGTGTTGAACAAGTGTGTCTTTACGGCTGAAGGCTTTGCCACATTCACTGCACTTAAAAGGCTTCTCTCCAGTGTGAACTCTCTCATGCTGAACAAGTGTGTCTTTACGGCTGAAGGCTTTGCCACATTCACTGCACTTAAAAGGCTTCTCTCCAGTGTGAACTCTCTCATGCTGAACAAGTGTGTCTTTACGGCTGAAGCTCTTTCCACATTCACAGCACATGTAATGTCGCTTTCCAGTGTGGCATTTCTGGTACATTTTTAGGTGAGACAGGTGATTGAAGGCCTTTCCACACTCCTTATACATATGAGCTCTTTCTCCACCATGAATTTCTCTGTGATGGAAAAGACTTAATGTATGCTCAAACACTTTTCCATATGGTAGGCATCTAAAGGGACTCAAATCAGTTTGAGTTCTCTGGCTGTCAAGACAAGGAATAGTACATAGGAAGTCTTTTCCATTATTGCTGCCACTGAAAATCAGCTGTCTGTCACGGTGTTCCTGGAGTTGCCCCACATTGGAGCTGGCTGGGAGAGACTCTGTGCACTCCTTCCTTCCATGCGCAATCACTTCACTGTGTGGGGGCTGGGGCTGGAAGCAGATAGTACCAGCCAGCAAGTCCACCCTGCACACAACAGGTATCCCTAATACATGGGCTGGACAGCTCTTCACACGAGAGTCAGGTCTATCATTCCCCACAAATGGAGTATCTCCACAGTGCTGCTTCTGGTGACTGTAAAATTTTGTACTGAATGAAAATCCTCTTTCATGTGGCTCACATCTACACACATTCTGCATAACATGTGAGCCCTGATGTTCACCCAGGTGCGCAATGGCTTTCCAGAGTGTATCATGCATCCCACATGGGTGGGCTCTCTGGAAGAAAAGACCTGGCTCGGTCCTGATCTGTGACACTTTTTTTACAGAAATGCTTTGCTCAGCATGGGCCTCCTCATTGCCTGCTTCACACGAACAACCTGAAATCAAAGCAATTTGGTGAAGAGCATGTTGATTTGCTTGGAAGAAGCCCTATCATAACGAGAGAATGTGCTGGCTGGCTGGAAGTATGGGGAAGCCAGGGTTGGTGTAATGAAGGGCCGGTTTTTAGTACTAGGTCTGTGAAATCTCAGAATGGAGAAACTCTAAGATGGGTAGAGAAGAAGGTACCCAATTCACTCCTCTACAAAAGAGATAATGTGAGGCCTGGGCTATGGGAGTCTTACTACATTCAATGCAGAAAGATTTGTCTAGGATAAGAAAATACTACTGCAAGTAAGCAGTTGATTTTTTTTTTTCCTGAGACAGGGTCTCATTTCATAGTTCAGATTAGTCTTGAACACATTATGCAGCCCAGGCTGGCCTCAAATTCACAGGTATCCTCCTGCCTCAGCTCCTGAGTGCTGCATTACAAAGGTGCGCCACTATGCCCAACTCAAGTAGTTGATTCTTAAGGACTAGTTAATTTACAAAAGTCATGAAACATTAAGGGTGGCCAGTGTTCTACAGCATTGCAGAGAAAACAAGGATAGCAAATGAGTATGGACACCAAGGGTGACACATTTGCTGAGACAGAAGTCAGGGAAGAAATGATGGATGGGTGAAGGGTGAAGATGGGAAGAGCAGGAACCAGGAGCCACTGCTACGGGTGTGGGCAGTAAAACACTGCTAACCAAAACCACAATGCAGTTTCCATATGAACCGAGTTCTAAATGCACCTGCCCCAGTTTCCACACAGCAAGGAGAGACCTTTGCTGGGCCTCTCCTAGAGACTGAAGTAATGCCTGCCCTGCCAGACACCTAGACCTTCTCCCCTTTTCCAACTGGACAATTACCCAGGATTCAGAGGATGAAGTTTTAGAGAAAACAAAGGACAGGCGAGTGGCCCAGGGAGGCCTACCCCCACAGTGAAGAAACACAAGTGTTAAGAAAGGAATCTCCAAGGGGGATGGTGGCAAGATAGCTGTAGGACTCCCATGAGCAGCCACTGTCTAGGACCTAGGACTCGGCCACAGTGTTATGAAAAGTCTGATTTCAGTGTTTGAGAACTGGACACAAGCTGTGATGACAGGGAAAGAAAAAAGAGGCAGACAGGATTCCAGAGTGTGATTTATCAGCCATTTACTGAGGGCACAGTGAACAAGGAGACAGCATGACCAGTGGATCTGAAAGATCTGGGTCAGGTGGCTGATACCCTCCCTGGTCAGGAAAAAGGTGACTTCATTTGCCCAGAGCTTACCTGGCTTAGCGTAAGTTGAGATCAAGACCATCAGACATCTTTCTGGTGTTAATGACAGGGGACCCAATTCTGAAGCCCCACACACCCCTGTATGGCTTGGCTGATTTACAGTGTGCTGACAACTATGTGAGAAGAGCCCTATCAGGGCCACTCAAGGGCAGTCATGGTGGCAACAGTCCAAGGTGGCTTTGCTCTCCCAAGCCAAATCCCTGTGTTTGGTTCCTCAGAACTCAATCCTAGAATCTTACAAGCCTCCCTCTTCCTCAGTGTTCCCTGTGCCCAGGAGGGGTTTTGGTCCAGTGTAGGTGACATGGCATGAGGCTATCTGTCCAGCACGTGCACAGAAGCCATAGCTACAGCAGAGGCACATGCACAAAAAGAGACAGAGACTCATCATGAAAATGAAAATAACAAGGAGCCCCAGGAACCAAACCAACAGCCTAGGATTATCACCTATTACAGGGACAGGGCCACAAGGCATGAACTGGCGCTTGTTAACCACACACATTTCAGGAAGAACAGCAAAAGACTCCACCCATGAACAGAAAGATAATGTGCAGAAACTTATAAAAGTAACCCTGTACCATCCAACAGGACAGAACCAGAGCTGTAGGATAGGCCTGAGGTGAGTGAGCAGGTCACACATGGTTAATAGGACAAGACTCTTCAGTGATTCCAAGAGAAATGGAAACATACCATCCACATGAGAGGCTGAGCATAGACCCCCAGGATGTGCCCGTCAGCCCGCTCAGGGCATAGGTTATGACCACAGGTCCAGAGTACAATAGGACTGGCAAGGACAGTGTTGGCTGGGAGACTCCTCATAGCGCACTAAGCAGCAACTGGCTCTGGAGAATATGGAGGGAGTAAAAGCTCTTGAGCCTCTACTTAACCATCCCCTCCTCTGGATCCGATGTGTGCAAACCAGCAGCATGTTCTCTGTAACAACTCTGGCATCAGGACAGAGGTGCAGGCTGTGTAGTGCTTAGGGCAGGGTCCAGAGCCTTGGGCGTTCATATAAATGGCAGAAACGCCAGGGGGGTGCATATCGGAATGCATCAGTGTTTCTGCAAGAACTTCAGTCCAGCTGGCCAAGCAGAGTTTGTCTAATAGGACCCAAATCTGTTGTTTTAACAAGCTGTTCTTTTGCACCACCAGCACACTTCCTGAGGGTTACAGCACAGTGGGAAGTGTCCCAATACAACCTGTGAAGGGCCCAATCCTAGTGCACATGACCAGCAAAACGGGTGCCTGAGCACTGCTTTACTAATAGGTACCCACACAACACACCGAACCTTGGGAGGCCTTGGAGCAGCAGCTTGGTTATTTTCTTGTGCTAGGAAAGTCCTGTAGCTTTGTCTACACAGATCAAAGCATATTTATGCCATTACTGTTTCCAAAGAGCCAATGTAATGAACTTGCCAGTCCCATACACACTGCAAAGCCAGGTGTTTCCATCTGTGCATGAAATGGCAGGGCCAGAGGTTTAAACATACCTGACTGGGACTGCAGTTGCCAAGAAGCCACTCTGTTTCAGGAGTGATCCTGCCACTTGTGATGGCCCGTACTATGCTAGCACGTTTCTGTCTACAGCCTGCGTCACAGACTCGACCCGCACCTCAGCAGAGCATCCATCTCTGCCTTTCCAGGCGCCACATTATACAGTTCATTGTGCTCCTGTGCATGCAATGATTCTCACCCTGTCCTATGCTGTGGCTCCTCAGGAAAGCTTACCCATATTTTTACACAGAAATTTAGAAATCTAACAATATACAGCCTTGTAGCAGGACAGTCCTGTGACTTTGTTTTGTCTCATGTTTTCATTTATTACTTTTTTTTTTT